AACGATTATGCTAAATTCTCTCCCGTGAATAAACAAACTATAAAGTAAACATCACGAACTAAATCCATATCATTTTATATTCCCCTCTCTCTCATGCCGTCTCTCTCCCTCTTTTCTCCCTCCTTCAAATGCTTACGCTATATCTCCAACCGTGAAAAACTAACACCTGTTATATTTCATTCTTTTACTTTATCTTTCTATTCCTTTCATTTTTTCTTTTCCCTCCCTTCTCCCCTTTCCTTCTCTCTCCATCAAATGCTTAAGCTAAATCTTCGACCGTGAAAAGCAAACTATAAAATATGCATCATCAACTGAAACACACAGCATTTAATATTTCCCTCCCTCCCCTCTCCCCCTCCTCTCCCCGCTCTCCCCTCCCGATCCCGTTTCCCTCCTACCGCCTCCTCCCCTCCCCGTCTCCTCTCTCAAACTCTCTCTCCCTCTCCCTCTCCTCTTCCTCTTCCTCTTCCTCTCCCTCTCCCTCTCTCCCCCTCCATCTCTCTCTCAATCTCTTCCTAACCCTCTCCCTCTCCCATCGCCTAATGTTTTCCTAAATCGTCGCCGTAAAACACGTAAAACCTAAAACAAACATCCTCTACTAACCCGTCCAACATTTTATATTTCCACCTTTTCACGGAATCATTACATAAATTAAGCGATGCCCGGCCGCCCAATGGCGTGTCTTTAATTCACAGGCTCGCCATGGCAGTGTGTTTAATACTAGTATGCAGCCCCGAAACACACTCGTTTTCTAACTGACTGTATCTTCCTTAGTTTTTCTTTTCTTTTCTCCCCAGTCAGTCTCCAGTCTCAGTCTCAGTCTGTCTGTTGTCTGTCTGTCTGTCTGTCTGTCTGTCTCTGTCTGTCTGTCTGTCTGTCTGTCTGTCTCTGTCTGTCTGTCTGTCGTCTGTCTCTCTGTCTGTCTGTCTGTTCTGTCTGTCTGTCTGTCTGTCTCTCTCTCTCTCTCAATACAACCCCAAGATATTCCGGAAGCAAAAGGACATTTCAGAACTCTTTAAATTGCTTTAAAGACCCCCCCCCCCCACCCGTTGCTCGGACACCAATGGCGAGTTCCTGATCCTTGAATCATTTATTCGGACTCAAAAATTCCCTCCCCTTTTGATCCCTAAAAAAGGGAAAGGGAAGGGGGAGGAAGATAAATGCAAAGGGAAAAGAGTGGGGTAATAAAGACGACGATAAGGGGGGGACAAATCAGGGGTAAAGGAAGAGGATGAGGAAGGAGTAAAAATAAGGGACAAGGGAAGTGAAGAAAAGGAAAGAGGAAAAGTAAAAACAGAGAGATAAGGGAAAGGAACTAGAAAAAGGGAGGGGAAAAGGAATGAGGACTGCGAAAGGGAATGGGGAGAGAACTGTCGAGGGGAAAGCAAATGAAAAGGGAAAGGATAGGAAAAAGGATAAGGAAGGGAAAAAAAGAGAAGGCTAGGGAGATTAACACCGAAGCGACGCCCGGAGCAACGGGAAGGCGAAGGGGCGGAAGCAGGGCATCCCCGCCCCGTGGAACCCGCGCCGCGCCGAGTGAGCAAACAGCATCCGAGGCGCCCTCTGAATGACACGATGCATTAGCCCGTCTGGATCCCTCCTCGACTAATGGCAAGACGATCTAAGCTCCCTTTCCTCGTCATCAGGCACGCTCGTCATCCCAGAGCAGCGGAGCCAGCGACCCCGCGACCCCCGCCCCTCGGCCCTCCTTTTCGCCCTCCCAGGACACACCCTCTGGGGGATCAAACCGTGGCACTGTCGATAAGGATGGCGCTGGCACTGGGAGGAGGGACAGAGGGGGAAGGGGAGGGAGAGGCTGAGGGAAAGGGCGAGAGACAGAGAGACAGAGAAGAGAGTAGGGAAAAAGGAATAGGAAGGAAGTGGCTAAAATACACGAAACAATACTCTCAATAAACAACATTGCTGATCCTTCATTTCAAGACATCGGAACAGTGACATCAAACCTGCATCACCACCCGCTCCAACCTTCACCCACCTCTCTCCTCCTCTCTCCTTCTTTCCCTCCTTCAGTCAGCTTCCAAATCGTCTCCGCAACCTTTGCATCTCTGGCCGATAAACAAGGTAACCGTTGAGAGCGACGACTAAGATCAAGGGCATGTGCAGGAGAGGGGAGAGAGGGGAGGATCCATGGGGAGAGGGAGGGGGAGCCATGGGGAGAGGGGAGCATGGCAGGGCGAGACAGCTGAGTGTTGGGGGGGCATCGGGGGCCGAGAGAAGGGTGGAGGAGGGGTAGTAGAACAGGGAGGGAGGGCAGAGAGAGAAGAGAGGGGAGGGGAGGGGAGGTGAGAGAGGGGTAGAGGAGAGGTGAGGGGTAGAGAGGGAGGGGAGGGGGAGGGGAGAGGAGGTGATGGTTAGAGAAGGGGAGGGAGGGAAGTTAAGGAGAGATGAAGGAGAGGAGAGGGTAGAGGATGGGGAGGGGTTAATAAGAGCTAAGGGACAGAGGGTTAAGGGGGAGAGACAGGGAAGGGGAAGTAAGGGGAGCGGAGGAGAACCTAGTCTGGATCCCCAGTCATCAACATTCCGATAACTGGCAACCTCTTCCTCGGCGCAGAGGTGCCTCGCAGCCCGTCTTACAACTCTTGCATTTTCTCTCTCTCTCTACAGCACAATAACCCGCCGTGCTTTCATCGCGGTCTCTTACCAGTAAATGCCGCACACGAGGCAGAGGCAGAAGTGGTTTCACATACGCCATTGGCCAGGAGCAGCAGGGCAAGGCAACCGAGAGCATGTCGCAGAGGTGTCCAGTTCAAACACGCCCACCACCTCACGAAAACAAAAATCCGTCCGTCGTCAGCGCTTCGGGAAGGTGCGGTGTTGCGAGACACATTTCTCTATACCGAATAATATGAATGGGTGAAAGAAAGGGAAGGAGAAAACGGAACGTAGGTGGTGAGAAGAGGTAAAGGAGGGGGGAAGGGAGAGAGGAGAAGAGATGAGAGAGAGAAGAGAGAGAGAGAGAGAGAGAGAGAGAGAGAGAGAGAGAGAGAGAGAGAGAGAGAGAGAGAGAGAGAGAGAGAGAGAGAGAGACAGACAGACAGACAGACAAAAAATGCATGAACATAAAGAGATGACCATGCCACGTATGTCCATATTCCACGTGCGTCATACACACACACACGGCAAACACTGGCCTGTGTCACTTGCTTATCCAGCCCCCACCCCCTTTTTCCGACGTCGGCCGGTATCAAACCTGGTGTAAGCTTACCTGTTTTATACTGAGCCAGAGACAGCCGGACGTCACTGCACGCTCCAAGTAACGGGAGTTTCACGCTAAGGCAACCGAGATACGGTCAACAGGTTAAAAACACACGTGGTCAACACGATCAACACTCCCTTCAAACGCCCACTCTGGAGACCTGTTGTCGCGTTTCAAAGGAAGATAAAAAGTGAAAAAGGCGGAGAGGCGGGAGAGACACTCCACACAAATGTCGCCCACTTTTAATTTCTTTCTTAATCGTCAAACAGCAGAGGAGAGCGGGGACCCTGCGGGCACTCGCTGGCTAACCGAGGTCAAGGAAGCGGATAACGTGCGGCTTGCGGGTGCGGGTGCGACCATCCGCGCCCCAGACGACGGGGGCTTGAGAGCCGATTTGCACAAGGAGGTAAGTGCGTGAACAAAGGGAGACGCTCGACTCTCGCAAGGGCACAGGTGGTGAGTGACTGCCGACCAGGAGTGGCTCTAAGCAATGACAAGACCCGCTGTCAGCCTCCACCCTCCCTCCCTCTCTCCCTCGCTTACAACCCCCCATCCCCCCGCCTCTCTCTCTCTCTCTCTCTCTCTCCTCTCTCTCTCTCTCTCTCTCTCTCTCTCTCTCTCTCTCTCTCTCTCTCTCTCTCTCTCTCTCTCTCTCTCCCCCTTCCTTCCTTGCATGCAACTTGAACCGCAAAGTCGGTGAGCTCTTCTGCAGTGAAAAAACAAAACAAAAAAACAGCGTTACACCAGTATCAACAAGTTCAGGCGCATCTGCATGACAACGTTCGCGGACGAGAGAGAGCAAAACAGGTGATCTAGTTGCGATAGGGATAGGGACTGGGACAGGAACTGGAATGGGGATCAGGACTGGGACTCGGAACTGGGAGGGACGGGAACGGGAATGGAAATGGGGCTGGGATTGGAGTTGGTACTGGGACGCGAATAAGGAACAGAGAGAAGGAATATAAAATCAAACTAAGGAGAGGATGCAAACGGTGTTAGGCCGTGTTAAAGGTAAAAAACAAAACAACATGTAAAATGGTAGATGAGGAAACCTGACGAATACCACATCAGAAGAAGGGAGGGAAGGAAGGGGAGGAGTAATAGGAAAAGGGGAAAGGAGGGAAAGGGATAGGGGGGGAGAAGGAGAAAGCGAAAAGAAAAACGGAGCAAGAGGAGGAAAATCAACCGAAAATCACGACGGACAACCGTAGAGAGAAAGGCATCGGGGGAGGCGTGGGTCTGCATGATCGTGTGCCCGGCAGCGAGGTCACAGTCCCAGCCTGCGTCGGAGCTTGCAAGAGCGCGACGAAAGCCCACCCGATCGCACACCATGCCCTGCCGTGCCCTTACGACCCGGTGCGAAAGCTGACCCGGGGAATCCCGCGGCGCCCAACCCATATCGCATTTCCGCAACTTTCCATTACGAAGGTCGGAATTATACACACAGAATGGGAAAAAAATAATGATAATACCGCCGAGGTGTCCCCGTTCCTGGTGTCATGCTGTTGATAGCCTTGCAAGAATGGTTTCAGGAAAGTTTGTCAGAGCCTCATTTTCCCGTGAGATCGAATGAGTTCAATATCCTTCGCCAGCTCATTAAGTCTCGAGGGGGAGCGGAGGGAGCAAGTGAGAGAGGGGGGGCAGAGGGCGGTGGAAGGTGGGTAGGAGGAGGGAGGGGAGGTATATGTGATGCAGAACAAGAGGGGAGGGGACAGAATTCGGATGGAGGAATGAAGGGAGGGTAAAAGAGAAGGAAGGAGGGAGAGAAGAGAAATGAGGAGGATGGGTTGGAAAGGAAGGAGTTGAGATGGCACGGAGTGGCAAAGGCGAGCAAAGAGAGCAACCGGCAGCGGCGAATCTCGCCCCAAACCCGCGAGAGCGCTTGCTCAGCGCCCGCGTCGGAAACCGCCACGGAGAGACGTCCCGCCCTTCGTGCCGGCAAACGGGCGCATTAATCTGGCGAGAGAGAGCCGCACGCCGCGACAGGAAACATGATGAGTCATTCCACCGGCAGCGTGAGCGCCAACCTGACACGGGGCACGGCGGGGCGGCAGCGAGGCTCGCCTGTCACGCCACGCCTCCGATGCCAGCTTTCTCGGAACAGCAACTGAACGGAACTGCCAGCGCATCGCACGACTCGCTTCCAGGTCTGTCTGTCTGTCGAGGGTGATGCGCCCAGGCTGTCTTTTGTGCGCATTTGCATGTCTGCTTCCTTCTTAGAGCGCGTGTTTTGCCTGTCTGGCTGCCAGTCCACCACTGGCACCTTGCTTGCAACCTCATCTGTTACAACTGGATTTTTTCTGCAGCGCATCTCGAATCTGTTTGTCCGTCAGTCTGCCTGTCTGTCCACACGCTTGCCTTTTTGACATTTTCCGCTCACAATAATTTCATACAAGCCCCACACGACACAGACGCCAGGACAGGAATAATGGCATTTATATATCAACAAAATGTGCAACCTGCGCCATGTTTACTTCTACTTCCTGTTCCAGCGCCCGCGGCGAGAGGACTCCCGGGTGGCCCTAATCCCCGACCTCGCCCGCGCTCATGCATGGATAAACGTTTCTGCTGCCTGTACTTACGCAATCTTTCCAGGTCTGGGCGCTCACCTGCGGGAAGAAAACCGTGAACTGTTAGTTTCAGTTTGTTAGTTGAACATGAATAAAAATAAGTACATAAAAACGTTACGCGCACACAGGCACGGGCGCGTACACGTACAACAAACGCGCGCGCGGCGCATACACACACACACACACACGCACATACACCACACACGCACACACCACACACACACACACACACACACACACACACACACCACACACACACACACACACACACACACACACACACGCACACCACACAACACACACACACGGGAGCACTTATGATACAAATATAAAAGTAATTACAAATCGATAAGTAAATATGCATACTGTTTTACATGAGTAATAAATTAAATTATTATATATATATTATATATATATATATATATATATATATATATATATATATATATATAAATATAATATATATATATATATATATATATATATATATATATATATTCTATTATCTATTAATTAATCTATATCTCACATATATAAGAACCACCAGATACAGATTCAACACCAGCCCCCTCCCCTTGCCCTCCGGCCCATCAACATGCACAAGGAGCGGCCAGCACTCCGAACAACGTGGCGCAACTCCCCCCCCCCCTCCCCCCGCCTCCTGCCACGAGGCACGGCCTCCTGTAGTCTAGGGTCCTCCACATCCCTGCCTACTGACGGTAATCACGGCCCGGTCCCATTCCCGCCTTCGGGAGCACCGGCCCATTATGTCGCCGCGGCCCACGATGCAAACTCAAGGGGGGTAGGGGGTAGGGGGTAGGGGGCATGGCGTGAGGGCCCACGGAGGCGATGCGGCGGCTAATGGTGCTGACTGAACGGAGGTTAGGGAGGTTAGGGAGGAGGGAGGGAAGGAGGGAGATAGAGACGCCTGAAGGGGGAGGTAAGGGAGGGAGGGAGGGGGGAGATAGAGAGATGGGGCTGAACGGGGAGGAGGTTAGGGAGGGGAGGGAGGGGGAGGGGAGACAGAGAGATGGACTGAAAGGGGGATGTAAAGGGAGGGAGGGAGAGGGGGGGAGATAGAGAGATGGGAAAGACGGAGAGGAGGATGACAACATTCTTATTCTCATTATCATCGATACTGTCATTGTGTGTATAAGTATCACCATTATCATATACTGAACATAACTGCTATTAGTAGTAAGCATTATTATATATGATGATATAACAAACATACACAGCTACATGTGTGTGTGTGTGTGTTGTGTGTTGTGGTTGTTATGTTGTGTGTGTGTGTGTTGTGTTGGTTGTTGTGTTGTGTTGTGTGTGTGAGTGTGCGTGTGTGCGACGAGAGAGTGAGAAGAG